CAGAGCTTATGAGGATGCGGATGCCGCGAGCCGGTACGCATACGAAAGAAATAGCGGTTCTAGCAGTTTGCAAAGATATAATACATTATCGGAGAAAAAAGATGGACATTGGGGTTCGAATTGGATATAAAAATTTTCTACAAAAGTGGAGTACAAATACATACATTAAAATCTTTTACTTGCCATGCGCATAAATTAAAAAATCAACATTCTTTAATTGCATAGTTTTTTAAAAAAAATTATTTGGAATCATTAGATTGAATAGAATTCTTTGAAAGAATTCGGGGTCCGGAAGTAATGGGGGAAAGGAAATTCTTTAAAATAGTTAGATAATTTTACAACTTACACCGTGTGCATGTATAAAAAAATAAAAAAATAAATTCATTCATTTTGTAATTCTTCAATTTCTGTGATATTGATTAAACAAAATAACTAGACTTGGTTATGCAACAAACGGATTCCTCTTTATAAACGGTGAAAGTAGAAGATATTTTGCTCTTGAAGCTTGATTAGAAGTTTACCTCTTACAAATATTTAGAAATATTTGAAAACATGAAATAGAAACAAAATGAAATGCGAAAAAATTATCAAATCAATGTTGCGAAGTATCGTATTCCATATTCAATTTTTCAAAAATCAGTTTCAATGTATGAGTTTGCAATACTTTTTTCAACATTCGGATAAATATGAAAATTCTTATCACCAATCTTATGTTACGCGATATCGGTTCGTGAGAAAGATCATACCAGTAAATTCTTCGGATTATCCCTTCAACGAATACAGACAGTATTTGATTTTTGCAAATGTATTTATTAATGGATAAGAAACATGATATGTTCATTAATTCATTAAGTGAAATCTACACAACGACTAGCATCGTTAATATTTAACCTCAACAGTATATATAAAATTTCAATTTAAAGAAATCTGGAAGAAGAAATGTACACGAAATATTATGAAAGTCGAGGCATCTTAAAAATAGATTTTTAGAGCTGAATACAGTGCGTTAAATAGTACAAAATTATAATTTACATAAATCCTAAACCGAAAACCCAAGTTCCAAAACAAATCAACCATATATTCACAAAATCCTTAAAAAATTTTTGGTATCGAAAGGCCGAACCCGAAGATGTGACAGAATCTGGAGTGTTCATGTCAAGGAACGTATCATTACATTTCGAACTCAAAAATCCATGTATAATCGGGATTGCCGGTTCCAATGGTGTGCAAGCAAACGCATTGGGATTATATGCTAGGTACTTTATGAAAACCGAAGTCATTGCCTGTGATTGTGTGAATGAGGAGAATGAATTAATTATACACAGTGTAAAGAGTATCACGTTTAAGTAATGCGCTGGTTACCTTATTGCAATCAGTGCAAATGACACCGGTCGGTAATTCAGACAAAGGCAATAGCATTGAGATTATCGAACCGTCATTGGATCCGAGTGGGCATGTACTACCAGTATTTGTTGGCGAGGGTTCTGATGTTTTGGTGAGACTTGGAGTTGATTGTATGGAAGATGTCATTTTAGACGATGTAGAAGACACAGGTGTGGTTATATTAGGAGAAATTATAGTCGATGCAGTGGAAACAGTTGCGGTGGGAAAAGGTGAAGAGAAGTTATTCGGAAGATCTTCAGAATTGTCCATTCCCACATCAAATATGCGTCTTTTGTCGATGTGACTTTGCGAAGATGTTGCATTACCAGTCGTTGCGTTACTCGCCGTTCCAATATTAATAAGTGTCTCTAATACACAAAACGAATTGTACTCGCTCTTTCCATTCCTCAAACAAATAATATCTCTGATCACCGAATAGTAATTAAATAAATCAAACGTTGGCACAGCAACTTGATTACGTGCAAAAAGATCTTGTTCACATTGCGTCTTAATCGAGTCTACGACCGGTTGAATTGTAGCCGAAGAACATTTTGGAAGGGCACACGTCATTTTTACAATTTGAGCGAGAAGGTCAATTTTGTTAAGAGGATTGGAATTATCGGTAAAGTTGAGAATTACAGGAAGGCTAATGAAAATGGTGGATACTGGGAGGCATTGTGTGAGGGTAGAGTCATTGAGGAGCGATGAAATGGTGGCAGAACAAGTGTTGGTGATGTTGTAGGGGGTGAAGTCTATGGAAAATTGTGCAAACGCGAAGTTTGTTAGATAGCTTAGAATGACGTAAAATAATTTTATGAAAAAGGAATTCATGATTTGAACGGAATTCAGGGGTTGGTGATAGAGATACACAATTTTACCAGTTCTTCTAGTCCATTGAAAGGGAAGGAAGGAAAAAACAAGAAAAAGAAAAAGAAATCTGAGAATAAAGTATGAAAGTCGGGAAAAATGGTAATGCAGCTTATTTAATAAATCGCAGGATTGTTCGGTTCAATCTATTATTCGCTTAATTTTAATACAGTAGTCATTGATGCTATTTGTTTGATGACTATGGTAAACAAATGTTTCAGTGAAGTTTTTCATTGGTTTCAGAGACACATGGCATGTGACTTGCTGAGTAGAAAGTTTATGCAATCGAATAATCATTCATGTCATTAAACTACCACAATATTTAAATAAAGAGATGAATGAATGAATGAATGCTGTATACTAGATAGTAGTTTAATAAATTAAAGACAAATAATAGTATATTCTCGTTTAACAATGTAATACGAAAGATTAAAACTACACTATTAGTTTAATGCAATACAATAGTTTAGATATCGATCTTAATAATGAAATTAATTTAATAATCGGAATAGTGTCTATACAATGATGAATTGTGTTTTCAATATTCCAACAAAACTTCAAGAAATCTTTGGTAAGATTAACATATTGTCGAGAGTGTAATCGACGAGTCCGTCACTATGTCACGATCGCTGATCGTGTAACGTCGAAAGAGGTTGATGCAAGATAAGCGAGTATGTATATATAAAATTTGTTGTTTTAATTACTGTGATTATTTGTTTGTTAGCTTCTTTTTTTTTCTTTTTACATATTATATAAATGTATTTTACTATATTTCTAAAATTTCTTATATCTTAATCTTATTTTAAAAATTTCAAAAATTCTTTTTTTTTTGAAGCATTACTTGTTACTTTTATTGTAAAGATTTAATTAGTCACATGATTAATATTAAGATACAAACTATATTATTATAAATATTAATCTACTATTTATTGGATGGACACAAAAACATTGAGACAAAAAAAACCTAAGAAATTGTCTGTCATAAAAATAAAATATTATAATATTTTGGACAAATTTGTTATTCAAAAGGATTTTAATAAAAGTATATAATTGATAAATATAGTTGTGATGATGTTTTAGTTATATGTGATTCCTGAACATATATATTTGTGAGTCCAGTCAGATAACAGCATCACATAAGCTATATATAATTGATAATATTGTTAAGAACAATATTAAAGTTTTTTATTAATATAAAATAGTTTCAAGTTTATATAAGATATAAAATAATTTGTTTTTTTTTTTTGGGGGAGGTTTCCCCTTATAGGTAAGCATCATTTCTTTATTTGATATTGTATATAACATGGTATACATCGTGAAAGAAACAACATCTCTTACAT